AGTCGACTCTGCAGGGTTGGACCAGAGATGATTTTCCTAAAACAGGAAAAAGAAGTTTTTGTATTTGTAGCTTTGTCAACTTCTCCGACCCTGAGATTCCGTCCGTACAGACGTCGTTAAACTGACCTTGGTTTGAAGGTTATAACTGACTGTTTGACGCACAGATACTGTATTAGTACAAACAGTTCTCGTCGTTCAGCTGAGGTCGGAATAAAAGTACAAACAATCCCAGAGTCCCAGTTAGAAATCCTCGTACGAAGCAAATGTACAAACTTCTGCAGCGACTTGGCGTCGATGCCACGGGGGAAAAAAAAACTTTAGAATGCAGCACAAATGAATTTGTAGTTGAGGTAAACATTTACACCGTCTCTGCGTCTCTGGGACTCTTGACGGCTGCTGTGATCCGTGCTCTCCGCGGTTCTCTCACTGTTTGTGCTGTCGAATTCTGAGCTGCTCTGTTCAGATCAAAGTTCTTTATTTTCTCCCAGAACATCATGAAGAGGCAAAAAAAAAAAAGTGTGATGTTTAACTCCATCTGAGGAGTTAGGAATAGTTTCATTCTTCTGTTCCGCTCCACATGTGGAAATGTCACCACCTTGTGTTGGAGCGGCCGACGTGACGCGAACGTTAACATCGAAATGTTAAAGACACAACAGGAGAAAGGACGACTTTCCAGTTTGACTGTAAAAATAATTGTCGTTTCAATCTGAGCTACGATTCTAGGAGGAGACGTGAAATGATAAGAACGAAATACCAAAAAAACAACACCTCCTGTTGGCAGTTTGAGGCATTGATTACCTTTTAATTATTATTAGTCGAAAGACAATGTTTTTCTTTTTTCCATTTCTTTAAGACACATCAGATTTGTTGACATTTTTCACAAAAAAAATTCTGTCTCTGTTCATTTCTAATCCTAAATCTTCAATCTGCCGTTTTCAAAATAATATGATATGATTTTATATTTAGCTTTATTTTTCAGAGTCGTTTTCAAAATAATGTGATTTTATATTTAGCTTTATTTTTCAGTGTATTAAAGTGACGCAGCAGAGAGTGCTGGCACAGAGGCATTCATATCTTTTGTGAGCATGAAAGAATGGCTCTCAAAAAGTATTTTTTATTTAAATTTGTTTTTAGTCTTGAGCCGATCTTCATCCTCGTTCCTCAGAACTAGAATCAAATTCTCCGTTGCAGCAGCAGTGCACTCACCATAGCTTTAGAACCTGCTGAATATACACACATACACACACACACACGTGTGACACCTCCTCTGTCAAAGCCCCCCCCCCCCCCCCCCCCCCCCCCCCCCCCTTCTCTTTTTTTTTTGTTTTCAGAGTGAGCTGCTGTAAATCCCCCGAGGAGACGTCTCCAAGTGGAGACAAGATGGCGTCCAACCACACGCTCCGCAGCTACTCCATCATCCCATGTTTCATCTTTGTGGAGGTGAGAAAACCGACGACTGTTGTCGTTGAATTGAGGCTTTAAAACAACAACAAGATTTGGAAGTACGACTAAAAACTAGTCAGATCTTGAACGGAGGTTTTGACATCCAGGACGGTGACCTCCTGACCTGGACGTCGTTAACTTTCACTCCAAAATCAGTATCAGCTGAAAATGAGAAATTGATCCAAAAATTGCAGACATTGAATTTACATCTCACTGAAGTGTTTGTGTTCCCTGTGGTGTGGAGTTGGTACTGCAGCCCAGAGCTGAAGCTGTTCCTCTGCGTTATAGTGCCCCCACCTGGTGACATCTCCAGCTTATAATGAATTTTAAAAATAAAACCCAGATGGATGTTAAGTCTTTTCTTCTGTATTATATATTCTCTCACCAGTGAAGTGGAGCCTCGGGCTCAGACTTTAAACAGAAAACATTAAAGCGGAATTCTCTTTGATGGTTAATTACTCTGTTTTCATTGGTTCCTTCGTCTTCGTACAATTCTCAGAGACGTTATTTCTGTCCTGGTTTTCTCTGATGTTTCTGTTACGTCTTCTGTCCAGTAGTTGTTCCTTCTCCCTCCCCCCCCCTCTGTAGCTTGGTTTTCTTTTTAGCCTCGGAGAAAAACTCTGTTCCTCTGTGTTTTTCATCGAAATGACTAATAATAATTAAAAAAGACAAGACTCTGGGGGGAGGACGGGGAGGACGGGGGAGGACGGGGAGGACGGTGGAGGACGGGGGAGACAGAGAAAATATGGGAGGAAACCAGGACGTTCCTAATGAAATGGTGAAGATGTGACGGGAGTGAAGTGAACTTTTCTGTGTTTACATCATCTCTGCTGAGCGACTGTTGACGTCCAGGGTCAGAGGTCAACCACCAGGGGTCAACAACAGTCGGAGACAAACAATGACACGTCACAGTGAGGTCATCAGATATTAGACGTTCAGTTCCATTAAAGGACTAAATGTTAGAGATTGGAACTTTCTGGACATTTCTGATTTGTCTTCTCTAACACATCGTTTCCCAAAGACTGGGTCGCGACCCTCAGGTGGGTCACAGGAGTTTTTTTTTTTTTGATGATAACACAGTGACCTCACAGTTAGTGTCACATATATAACGACAGCCGGAAGATTTTTTTGGATCACCGTAAAATTCTTCTCATCCGTTCTCTGATGTTTAGAATGTTTGTACAAAATGATCGACCGCGAAACCAGATGTTTTTTTTTTGTGACCGATCAATCGCTGGTCATAACAAATTAATAACGTTCTATTCTGACACTGATGTACTCACTCCAGACCTGTAGGTGGCGGAAAAATCTATCAACAATCGCTGCAATACGTCAACATACCAGCTAGCTAGCTAACGTGTTTTAGATTCAGGTGATACGTTGTGTATTAACCTGGCTTTTAATATTGTTGTCATAAGGTTTTAGCTAGTTAAAGTTAGCTAATTATGCTAGTTCTTTGAGTGAGCCTCCAGACTCCTTTTATGGTGTTTCTGGTGAAACTCTAAATTTGTTCAGAAAAATCAACAAAAGCAGCTGGTGCTTCTTAAAGTAACGCTGTATTTTAGGTTGTTAAATCCTGCACTGAGCAAAAAAAAAGTGACTTTATATTTTTAGTTAGGAAGTCATGAAGAACAGCTGAGAAAAACAAAACTAAACATAACCTCCCCCCCCCAAAAAAAAAACCTCAACTTATTCAGTGTATCATCTGCGTAGATAGATAAACTGTAACGGTCGGATTGTTTTGTTTGAATCTCTGAATATTTTCCCCCAGTGTTTCTGTAACGTCTGCATTAAAAAAACCAAAAAAACAAAACAGTCGTTTCCCCCGGGTTTGTTTTTCTAACGTTGTTCTGCTCTCTCTCTCTCTCTCTCTCTCTCTCTCTCTCTCCCCCCCTCTCTTTTTCTCTCTTTTTTTGGTGGAGGGGGGGTTATTTTGGAGACACAACAAAGATGAATCAAACTAATGTTCCACTTCATTTTAAAAGTTCTAAAGTAAAAGTGCGACATTTAAATATTTTGTCAGATCTTCGGTTCGACCGCGAAAAAAGAACAACGTGAAGCCGAGCGTCTGTTCAACGACGTGAACCGTTTCCGTTTCCTCTGTGTAAACACAGACGCACGGCGATGGTCGCAGCTTCTCGACGGAGAATTCCACAGCGTCTGATTGTAGACAAGAACAGGACGACGGCCAATCAGACGCTCAGCTGTCGTCAGGCAGAAAGAAATCTGTTCACACCTTTGGAGTCTGAAGAACACAGGCTCCAGTCTGACCCCTGTTAATGTACTGAAGGTGGCGCTGTTGTCATGTTAATGAGCCTGGATGGAGACAACAGACCGTCTGTGGCTGAACTGAGCTGTTGGTGTTTCATGAATCCAAACTCCGTCATCCAATCAGTCTCCACGTTAACGCTTGAATGGGTTTGGGTTCCTACACTGGTGGCTGAAACGCAGCCCTAAACCCGTACAGAGCAACTGTAGTTTTAAGTAGGTTGGCTAACAATGCTAATGCTAATGGAGAATGAAGATGAGGGTGAAAGAGACTGGAATGGAGCCACGAGTTGAGCCACACAGAGAAGAAGGCACAGGTCAGGGTGTAAAACTGTCAAAGAAGGGAAATAAACAAAAAAAGGAGGATCTGTTCAGCGAGTGGCCTGCAGGGGGTGGACATGAGCTCCTTCCACCCATAAAGTTATCACACTGTGGTTTTATTTGACGAAATGTTCCGAGATTTCCTCTCAGTCTCCGGGGTCTCAGGGTCTTAGGGTTTCAGGGTCTCGGGGTCTCAGGGTCTCGAGGTCTCAGGGTCTCGGGGTCTCAGGGGCTCAGGGTCTCGGGGTCTCGGGGTCTCAGGGTCTCAGGGCCTCGGGGTCTCAGGGTCTCGGGGTCTCAGGGGCTCAGGGTCTCGGGGTCTCGGGGTCTTAGGGTTTCAGGGTCTCGGGGTCTCAGGGTCTCGGGGTCTCAGGGTCTCAGGGTCTCGGGGTCTCAGGGTCTCAGGGCCTCGGGGTCTCAGGGTCTCGGGGTCTCGGGTCTCAGGGTCTGAGGGTCTCAGGGTCTCAGGGTCTCGGGGTCTCGGGGTCTTAGGGTTTCAGGGTCTCGGGGTCTCAGGGTCTCAGGGCCTCGGGGTCTCAGGGTCTCGGGGTCTCGGGTCTCAGGGTCTGAGGGTCTCAGGGTCTCAGGGTCTCAGGGTCTCGGGGTCTCGGGGTCTCGGGGTCTCGGGGTCTTAGGGTTTCAGGGTCTCGGGGTCTCAGGGTCTCGAGGTCTCAGGGTCTCGGGGTCTCGGGTCTCAGGGTCTGAGGGTCTCAGGGTCTCAGGGTCTCAGGGTCTCAGGGCCTCGGGGTCTCAGGGTCTCGGGGTCTCAGGGGCTCAGGGTCTCGGGGTCTCGGGTCTCAGGGTCTGAGGGTCTCAGGGTCTCAGGGTCTCAGGGTCTCGGGGTCTCAGGGTCTCGGGGTCTCAGGGGCTCAGGGTCTCGGGGTCTCGGGGTCTCAGGATTTTCTGGCAGCAGCTTAAGGTCAGCGTTTTAAAAAAAAAAATTAAATCACCTTCTACAGGAAGCAGATGAGCTGGAACATAAATAGTTATGACGATAAATCAAAAGGTGAGTTTTTCTGCTCTGCTGTTCCAAAAAAAAAAAAAAAAAAGGTTTCACACCATCTGTTTCAAACTGAAGGTGGCGTCATCCCTGCTGTAAACTGTGAAGGTGACTCTGTGGTGGAACAGTTAAACAGACCTTCAGTATCTGTGTACTTCTGTGTACTTCAAAGTCTGTGTACTCCTGGGATTCTGTAGTGAACACAGTACACACAGTACACACAGTACACACAGTACACACTCACAAACCCAGTTCTTGTCCCACAGTCCAGTTTGATTAAAACCCACATTGACCATTCTGCAGTGGCACAGCTCCCCCTTGTGGTGTAAAGAGGTATTACATGGAGCAGTTCTTCAGTGACGGGTCAGGTTTTCGTGTGACGTATTTGTTCCACGTTAACGATCTGAAGATTCACTGTTGTTCAGAAACAATGATGGAAATAATTCACTGTTGATGACGTCACATCACTGTGAGATACTGCAGTGACACCTGGTGGTAAAACTGTACTGACCAGGTTTCACCTCCTTCATATGAGGTAGTACCTCAAACGGTGAAATACAACATAGTATTTGATGATGGACAACTGCAGTATCTCCTAATGATCAGATACTAACTAGTACTAACGTCATACAAGTACATTAGTAGTATTACTATAAAATATACACAGTGTTGATGTGATGTTCATAGTAATGAAGTACTGTGAACCGTGACACGAGTACCTTTTCATTCATACATGAAGATAAAACCTGATCTAAGAAGTATTGATGTAGTACAAACAAGTATTACTACAGTATAATCTATACGAGGTACGAGGTATAAGTTGATGAAGTCATGTTGTAATGAGGTGGAGCTGGGACAGTTGTTGACCTGTGGGGGGGGGGCAGTGG